GAGTTTCGAGGATGTCTCAAGCGAAACGGGCCGGACCACCTCGCGCAAGGCATCTCAGAGCTCAGAGTTTCGAGGATGTCTCAGGCGAAACGGCCCGCACCACCTCTCGCACGGCACCTCGGGGCTCAGAGTTTCGAGGATGTCTAAGGCGAAACGGCCCGGACCACCTCTCGCGCGGCGTCCCGGAGCGGAGCTTTTCGAGGATGTCTCAGGCGAAACGGCCAATCCTGGCCAACTCAGAAACGAGAGTTGTTAGGATGTCACAAGCGAAACGGCCCAGACCATCAAATTTTGGTGAGGATGTCTCTGCTCCGACTTCCCTCGGCCGGAGTTAGCTTCTATCACGACAGCACCCCGTTCAGCAAGGTGTTTGGGGAAATAAAAAAAGAAAAACAAAACAACAAAAACAAAACAAATCGCCTCCCGTTCCTCCCCCCCCCGTCCTACCCCCCTTGCGGCTGGTGTGGCTTCACACGAGGAAGAACGGGGTGCCCAGAGGATCGTCGGAGACGTCGCTTCCGACCATTCTCTGGGCACCACCACGTGTTCTCTCGGGTCCACTCACTGCCTGGGCCTTCTCTGCCTTCTCTCCTCGGCGCCTCCCTCTCTGCTACTCCCAGTCCGCGGACACATCTGATGGGGCGGGGCGGTGTCTAGGGGAACAACAAGTGACATAAACATGTAAAAACTCGGAGGCCGCGCGGATCTCTCGCACCGGCGCTGGGGCCCCCCGGGCGGCGCCTCCGGCGCCGCCCCTGGCGCGCTCCGCGCGCCAGTGAGGGGGGGTCCAGCGCCGATCCGAGAAATCCGCGCGGACCTCCGAGTTTTGATGCTTATGCCACCTTGTTGCTCCCCTAGTGTCTGCCGCTCTGGGCAGAGACAGTGGCTGCTTCAAGACGTGTAAAGCCGCTGTACGACAGTATGCTGTTTCACTCTGACTAATCGCACTGTTGCCGATGTGCCGTCATGGCACGGCTTCTACGTACGTACGTAGTGTCTGCGCAGGCCGCTGCCCATCTCTCTTAGGGCGGGCACGCTCGGAGGGTCTGGCCATGGGGGGGGGGCGACGCTGGGCGCCCGGCCCTGGTGTGTGGGGGGGTCGCTGGGCGGACTGGTGCGGCCCGATGTGCGACAATAAGGACAGAGGAAGGGGGAAAAGGAGGAGGAGGAGGAGGAGGAGGAAAACAGAGGAGGAGGAGGATGAGGAAGAGGGAAAAGGAGGAGGAGGAGGAGGAGGAGGAGGAGGAGGAGGAGGAGGAGGAGGAGGAGGAGGAGGAGGAGGAGGATAAGGAGGAGGAGAGGAGGAGGAGGAGGAGGAGGAGGAGGAGGAAGAGGAGAGAGGAGGAGGAGGAGGGTATTGAAAAGGAGGAGGAGGAGGCGGAGGAGGAGAAGGCGGCCGAAGCGGCGGTGGTTGAGGCGCTGCGCGCGGAGCTGGCGGAGGAGGCGGCGAGGGGGCGGCGCAGCCTGGAGGGTGTCATGGCGCAGCTCGGCCAGAAGGCCCCGCTTTGGGAGTGGGTTCGATCCAGCCAACCAAGTCGATAAATGACGGCGCACGGGACACGAGGCGGAGGAGACGGGGGAGGATGGGGATGGCGCAGCTCGGCCAGAATGCCCCGCTTTGGGAGTGGGTTCGATCCAGCCAACCAAGTTGATGAATGACGGCGTACGGGAAACGAGGCGGAGGAGACGGGGGGAGGACGGGGAGGCGTTTTGATCAGGAAGAGTAGAGAGGACCACGAAGAAGGTGAGCTTTGTCTACGCTCGTTGCCTGCCACCGCGGAAGGTGGAGCTCGCCATGGAGGCTTCGGATGATGGTGGTCTTCCCGAGAAGGCGGCCAGCGGACCCCGCGACGCAATAGTAGGAGGAATAGTGCTCGGGTAAGGGTAGGGAAAGAAGGGACGGGAGGGAGAGGGGGAGGAGGACGAGGGAGGAGGGAGAGTAAGGGAGGAGAAAGTGTTGGAGGCGGAGGAGGAGGAAGGCGAGACGGAGGGGGATGCGGATTGTGATTGTGATTGTGACTGTGATTGTGATGATGCTGACGATGACGATGCTGCTGATGATGCTGCTGATGGTGATGACGATGCTGATGACGATGATGACAATGCTGACGATGATGATGCTGCTGCTGCTGATGATGCTGATCATGACCATGCTGACGATGATGATGCTGAAGATGAAGCTGGTTATTCTGATGATTATGATGATGGTATGGTTGCTGCTGGTGGTGATGACTATGCTGCTGATGATGACCATGATGATCACGATGGCGATGACGATGACGATGACGATGATGAAGATTTTGTTGTTGATGATGCTGATTCTGATGATGCTTGGGCGCGGACGATGCTGATGCTGCTGCTGCTGCTCCTGCTGCTGCTGTTGTTGGTGGTGGTGGTGACAATGATGATGATGATGCTGTTGATGATGCTGATGCTGATGCTGCTGATAATGACGATGATGATGATACTGATAATGATGATGCTGCTGCTGATTATGCAGATGTTGATGCTGATGCTGCTGCTGATGATGCTGCTGATGATGCTGATGCTGCTGATGATGATGCTCATGCTGCTGCTGCTGCTGCTGATGCTGATGCTGATGCTGATGCTGATGATGATGATGATGATGATGATGATGATGATGATGATGATGATGATGATGATGATGATGATGATGATGATGATGATGATGATGATGATGATTGTAGGATGATGATGATGATGATATGAGATGATGATGATGAGGATGATGATGATGATGAGATGATGATGATGATGATTGATGAATGATGATGATGATGATGATGAGGATGGAGGAGGAGGAGGAGGAGGAGGAGGAGAGGAGGAGGAGGAGGAGGGGTGAGGGGGAGGTGGGAGAGAGGAGAAGGAGGAGGAGGAGGCAGGGGAGGAAGCAGGAGAGGAGGGAGGAGGAGGAGGAGGAGGAGGGGGATCGCGGGTGGGAACCCGAGCGACGAGGGGGGGGATGTGAGGGAGTGGTGGTGTGAGGCGAGATGTCGGAGGAGGGGGAGGAGGATGAGGAGGAGGAGGGATGCATTTTACAGGGGGCATGGTACGGCACTTTCGAGGCGCACACGTTTGCGTACCACAACGCACAGAATTACCCTGTCCGCAGCAGCTCTCAGAAGAAGCTATGGTTACCGGCCTTGGCGTCAGGCGCCCTCAGCCCAGCTTCCGTTACCACTCGGCCCCCGCACTATGGCGCAGCAGAACGAGAATCACCCCTCCCACTTTCGCCGTCCCCCCTGCCCTCCTTCCCCCCAATCCCTCTGTCCCCGCCCGTCTCCTATCACCTCGCTTGTGCGGGGCAATTCCGCGGGCGACTCCAGCGAGGTCTGGAGGGGTACTCGTGGACACGAGCCATTTGCCCCCCTCTCGGGCTCCTTCGCCGTGCCGACTCGCTGCTCCCATTCCTCCGCTGCTCTGCCCCTGTGCGAGTGCCCAGTGGACGTGGCGCCAGCACGGGCACACCCGCGCTGCGCGCTTGCTTTGCGGTGGCTTCTCTCCCTGGCCCGACGGCTCTCGCTCGAATTCGGGCGCCGCCCACCTTCCGACGGGCGGCTGGCCTAGCTGCGACTCGCTCTCTCCTCCCCTGGCTCCTCTCACCTATGGCTCCCCTGGCTCCTCTCCCCTCCCCTGGCGTCTCTCCTCCCCTGGCTCCTCTCCCCTCCTGGCTCCTCTCCTCCCCTGGCTCCTCTCTCCTCTGGCGCGTTCGCTGTCGGCGGCACCTCGCATGGCGTTCCCAGCGTGCCCAGCGGTGATGCGCCTGACGTACCCGTGCCGACCGAACATTGTGTGTGTGTGTGTGTGAGTGTGTGTGTGTGTGTCTGTCCGTAACTCCCTCTGGCTCGAGCCGCCTCTGGCTCGAAGGGAGGCCCGCAGCGGCGATAGCGCCGCCGCCGCGGGCCAGAGGTCGGCCCGCCGCTCCGGCGTGGCCCGGCAAGGGGGGAGGGGGCCGGAAGGGCGGACGCCTCTCCCTGATCCCCCCACCTTCCAGGTGCTAGGACGGGCGCCCCGCCCCTGCTCGCAGCGAGGGGGCTGCGGCGCGGAACGGCGGCCGGCAGCCTGCTTTGCCGCCCGCACTGCCACCCTGCTGCTTGCTGCCGGCCGCCACGACGCCGCGGGCCGCCCCCGCCGGCGCCGCCGGCGCCCGCGCGCCCGGCGGCCGCCGCCGCGCGGTGGCCGCGCCGACCGCGCGCGGCATCGCCCCCGCGGGCGCTCGGGGCGGCCGCGTCGCGGTGCGCCGCCGGCGCCGCCGGCGCCGCGGGCGCCGCCCTTCTGCCGCGCTGGGGGCGCCAGTGCCGCCGCGGGGCGCGGATGGCGGGGGATCGCCACGCCCCCTCCTCCTCCTCCTCCTCCTGCTCCTGCTCCTCCTCCTCCTCCTCCTCCTCCTCCTCCTCCTCCTCCTCCTCCTCCTCCTCCTCCTCCAGCCGTTCTGGCACAAGTTTTGTGCTTGTTGACGCGAACTTCAGAGCGGCACACTGCGTCAACGGGCCTTCTGGCTCGGATCTTCTCAGTGATTGACTTCGGGGTGTATGACACCCCCGCCTACATCGCGCAATGGTGGTGCTAAAGGAGACGGGCGTGGCAAATGACGAGTTCGCGTGGACTGGTCCAGCGGCACGGCCGCCCCTCCCTGGCACTACGGCGCCTACATGTACTCGGACAAGGTTACAGAAGGATATTCTAAGTTCAAGTGCAGCTCCTTTGGCTGCGCGAAGAACCCCAAGGCGGCCCGCTACTGCAAGCATTGTGGGGCGCCTCTCGCTGCTGTTCGTCCTGTTGATGGTGGAGCCCCACAGAGCGGGGCGTGGTCGCAGGCCCCTCCTGGCGTTTTCTCCTCGGCGGCTCCCTGGGCCAAGCACTTGCGTCCTCTCCCTGGGCCCCCTGGAGGTCCTGGACAGCCTGCTGGAGCTGGGCATGGAGGTGGGCATCCTGGAGGCGCAGCTGCCAGGGCACCCCCTCTCCCCGTCGGGCCCCAGAGCCAGCTTAAAGCGAATGAGGCCAAGCAGCTGGCAGATCTCGCACGGAAAGGAGGCGACCTCACCACAGCAACCAAGTACGAGGCCGAGTTCAAGAAGCTGCATGCACAGGAGTCGCCAAAGCCTCCCACACCGCTCCACCAGCGAGTGCAGCAGCAGTTTGCCGCCGTGGCTCGACTGGAGAAGGCGTTGGATCGGGAGGTGGACAAGCTCCTGGGCTGGAGGAACGACATCGCCAAGCTTGAGGACACAGTGTGCACCATGCGTGAGGAGTTGGCCGCAGCCGACCAGCAGTGCAAGGCGCTGGTGGCTGAGCTTCAGCAGCAGGCGTCTGTGGCACCTGTCCCCGCTGCCCCTGCCCCTGCCGAGCTCAAGCTGGAGGACTTGTGTGCCGACGCTTTCGACCTGGGCGCCTTCCTCACAGTGGATGAGGTCAGTTTCTTCGAGGGCGACGCAGAGCTCGAGGACAAGGACCGCGAAGAGATCGCCAAGTGGAAGGACGACCTCAACGCTGGGGTCTCCAAGCTGGCCAAAGACCTGCTGGGCCCCCTGGTGGATGCACATCGGGAACATCTGGCTCGGGTTGCCAGCAAGCGGCGACGCACTGATCAGGGGGCAGCGGCAGGGGGAGATGCTGGAGCTGAAGGTGAGCCGCGTGAGGCACCTGATCCCGCCCCTGGCACGGCGGCAGCCGACGCTGCCCCAGCTGGCGGTGGAGCCCCAGCAGCTGCAGACGATGTGCGGGCCAAGGCAGAGAAGGCCCTTCAATCTCCTCCCCCCGCCCCTGGCGGGGTGGGGGGAGGAACCACCGCCTAGTCTGGCCGTGCATTCATGCCTGCATGCGCGTGCCAGTTTCAGCGCTCTCACGGTGAGCGCCCAAGGGAATTCTCAATGCCCGTCCCCAACTTTTGATTCGGATGGTTTCGAAATCCACGGTCTCAGAGCGCCTTCCCACTTAGGGTCGTATCAATGTAGTGTCGATGGAGTGCGGAGCCCCCTCGACGCTCGATGGGCTGATGCCCGCAAGTGTTTCAACTTGTCGCAAGCTGCGGAGGCCACCCTCGCCAAGTCGGACAGCGCCTGTCCCCGACAGGCCGCTGGCGGCCCCCGCCCTAGGCATCGGCATGCCCCCCCCTGTTTTTTTCGGCACCGAGGGCCGCGAAGTTTTTACCAGGGCCGCGCCAGGCTAAGGTGTTGAACGCTCTCAGGCATCCAAGTTTTTTCCTTTCCACACCCCCGGCCCCGGCCCTGGAGATTCTAGTGTTGAGCTCGTTATCCAGACCGCCAATGTCACGCCTTGGCAATCTGACTCGGGAGGCGGCTTCAAAGCTTGGCTTCCCAAGTGCGGTGCGCACGTTCTCTTAATCCAAGAGCGCCACCTGCTTGAGGCTGATCTGGAGGAGGCTACTGGATGGGCTCATCGGCATGGGTGGAAAGCTATCCTTGGGCCTGCTGCTCCAGGAGTGGGACGCGGTACTTCTGCTGGGGTTGGGATCCCGGTCCAGAACTCTTTGGGATGTCACGCTCCTCCTGGAGGCCACATCATCGACAGGCATCGTTCGATCGGAGCCGTTGTGCACATTCCTGGTGGTGAGCCCATCCTCGTTTGCAGCACTTACTTGCGTACGGTCGAGGGGCTTTCGGAGGCCAACGTGACACTCCTTGTATGTGTTGGCACGGTCGTTGAGCAGGTAGGCCAACCCACTATCATTGGAGCCGACTTTATCATGAGCCCCGACAACATCGTTTCGTCAGGGATCGTCAACAGGTTGGGGGCGCAGGTGGTCTTTCCCAAAGATGTCGTGGGCACGTGTGGCACTATCATGCTCGATTATTTTATTGTTACTGCTGGGCTTGCTAAAGGTATCTCCACCGTCAGTGCCATTCACACGTCCAACCTCGTCACTCACCTCCCAGTGCAGATGCAGTTTCACGCAGGGATTGGGGGGCTACATGGCCTCGTATTTCGGAAGCCCCCGCCGTTGCCGATTGAGCCTGCGATCGGTCCAGTGCCTCCACCGCCAGATTGGACAGCTATTCAGTGCGAAGCTGATCGTGCCCTTGTTGCTTGCCACGGTGGTGACGCGCACGCTGTACAGTGCATGCTCGACACCCTCTATAAGCACTGGGCCGACCTTTCGGAGAAGGAGCTAGGGAGGGGGAGACAAACCATCCTGCCCTGTTGGGGGAGCAGAGGAAAGATACCACAGCAACATTGGGTCAACATTCTCGATCAAGATCGGGAAGCCCCCCACCGACAGCCCCAATTGTTTTCGATCAAATGGCTTGTGAGCAAGTTCAGGCTCCTTCTCCAACTCGATGCCGTCGCTATAGGATCCGCCCAGTCCCAGGAAGTTCGGGGGCTGTTGCTTAACCCTCCTAGCTTTTTGAAGCAAGGTCTGGATGTCCACAGCGACCTCGTCATTCGAGTCCAGTCCTTTTTGGGCCAACATGATCTCCTCGACCTCGCCGTTGGGGAACCCATCCTTTCCGACTTAGACGAGCACCTCGCGACCTTCGCTGTGAAGGCCAAATTGCAGGCGCTCGCTGAGTGGAAAGAGTGGCTTCTTCAGTCTATTGACCAGGGCGCCAGGGGAGCGCACCGGCATGTCAGAGGCAGCCAGCCGTGGACCCCCACCACGACCCTCAGCAGGGATGGAGCTGTTGTCTCGGACCCCCTGGCGCTGCTGGCCTCGGAGGCCAGCAAGTTCAGTAAGCTTTGGAGGGCCGCCCCCGACCCCCTCCCCCGAAGGAGACCAAGTTCCAATTCGTTGAGCCCCTCCCCCGTCTCACTGCGGAAACCTTGCGTTTGGCTTCTAGGCGGTATTCCGCCCGCTCTGCCATTGCTGTTGACGGGTTCCACATGAAACATTTTGCCTCGCTCTCGGATGGGTCCCTGGCTGTCCTGTGTACCATGTATTCCATCATGGAAGCGTCTGGGCTGTTTCCTGGACAAACCTCCCTGGTTGTGCTTTCCCTCCTCCACAAACCCTCTGGAGGGTATCGGCCCATTGGCCTTGTCTGCAGCTCTCACCGCCTCTGGGGGCGGTGCCGCAGGCCCTATGCGGCCCAGTGGCAAAGCAAGCTTCAGCGGTGCTATTTTGCGGGGGCCCAGTTTTCTTTTGCGTTCGATGTTGTCTGGAGGCAGACTTCGCGAGCTGAAGGGGCTGTGGCCAGCAACCAGTCTAGTTGTGCGGTTCTGTGGGACCTCTACAAGTGTTTCGAGTTGGTGCACCGTGGCACGCTCCTTCAGCGCTGCCATCAGTATGAGTTCCCCGTCCAGTTAGCTCGGCTTGCTGTGCAAGGATATCGGCATGGCAGGTTCATGTCTCTTGGCGGCGTGGTCGTCGGCCCGTTCCATGTCACCAACGGCGTCGTCGCCGGCTGTGGGTTTGCAACCACCATGGTGCGCATTAATGCTATTCCTGCACTTGACGCGTTGCAGCTGCCACCAGGTATTACGCTCGACGTTTACAATGACGATCACGGTCTCAGCTGCAACGGGTCCAATGCCTACATTCTCAGGCACCTCCTTGAGGCCGCAGCCAACCTCAGGGATGCCATCGAGGTTGACATGGGGGCGGTCATTTCTCCTGATATAGCTTCCCTCGTCGCCTCGTCGGACGCGCTAGCCATGCAAGTCAGGGACTGCCTGGGCGGCCTCGCGGGGCCCATTATCCAAGGGGCCGTCAACTTGGGTATTGACTATGCCCCGGGGCCCTCCCGACGCCTTCCCGGTAGGGGGAACAAGTTTTCTGACCGCAAGCGGGTTTTCAACAAAAAAGTCAGAAGGCTCAAGCGAGCCAAGCGGCCCCTCGGGCGGCACGCTGCTAAAGTCTTTACTGCTGGCCCTCTTCCCAGCCTCACGTTCGGGTCTGAGGTTCATGGGCTCTCGGATTGTGAATGGCACAGGTTGCAGGTCGCTGCCGCCAGTACTATGCAGCCATCTGCCAAGATGAGGTCACGGACCTCTGTCCTGATTTTGTCCCAGGACCCGACCTGGTACCCTTCGGTGGCGCCCGTCGTGAGGTACTCCAAGGAGATTTGGGCCAACCAAACCAAGCTCTTTCCCTTTGTTATCCCGTGGGCTGAGCTGAGGGACGCTTGGAGAGGGGTGTTTGGTTCCCCTGGGCCCAAAACCTGGCGTGGGGTCCGTGGGCCGCTGGGGGCCATGAAGCTGGCCTTGCAGAGGATCTCTTGGAGCATGTCCAACTACTGCACCCTGTTGGACGATTTTGGAACTGAAATTTCGCTTACAGTCACGTCCCCAGCTCTTCTTAAGAAACTTTTGAAGGCAGCTGTTCAGAGGACTCATGAGAGGTCCAGCGGCGCTGCTCTGCTCCCGCGCATTCCAGGACCTCGAGTTTGCCATGATGTGGTTGCTGCTCCGCTCCGCTCCAAGAAGGGCACACCGTGCCAGCGAGGTTGTGCCAAGGCTGTTGCTTGTAATGCCACGTGGACTAGAACCAGAGCCGCTGAAGCAGGGTACGCTGTCAGCACGGTCTGCGAGCTTTGTGGGGGTGCGCCAGGTACCATGCTCCATCGGCTATGGTTCTGCCCAGCGTGCCATGACAAGAGGGAGGCAGTGTTTGACAGTTTCAAGCTTGAGTTTTCCCTCCTGCCCCCGCTCGACCTCTCGCCCGAGAACAACGAAGAAGACCACTTGCTGTTTACGCGTGGCCTGTTTCGGCACCCAGGGGATGTGTTTCCTTTTCCTGCTCGTGATGATGTTGAAGATACTGGCCTCGAGATTATCTGGGCCAACGACCGTGCATCCAAATCGCTTAGTTTATCTGGGCACATCTTTGTCGACGGGTCATGCGCTGCGCACCCTGTTAAAGAACTCTCCAGGGCTGGGTGGGGGATTGTGATGGTTAGTGACGAGGGAGACGAGACCTGTCGCATTAGTTGTCCTCTTTGGGCCCCCAACCTCCAGACTGCCCGAGGGGGAGAGTTTGGGGCTTACGCTGTTGATGCAATGCACGCCCAGTCAGGTAGTTCCATTTACTCCGATTGTAAGAATGTGGTAGTACAAGCCAATGAGCCGCTGCTCAAGGCTCTGTCCTACCAACGTGCGTATTCTGGATTTTTGCTCCCCACCCACCGCAAGCTTTTAGAAGGGGTGTTTAAGGTCAAGGCGCATTTTGAATATTCCTGTGACCTTACCGAGCTGGAGCGGTTTTGGAAGCAAGGCAACGACCTTGCGGATCTGGTTGCCAAGAGCTCGCTTGCCCGCCACCCGCAACCCGACCCCGAGGATGTGGTTCGGCTCGAGAGATGCCCCTCGGTCGCCCAGTGTGTCATGCGTCTTTCTACTGAGCTGATGCCACAGTGGCCTCGGCTAAACGTGACAGGGGCCCCGCTTGTGCCCAAGCCCCTGCGGCCTAAGATAGAGCCGATGTCCCACCAGTGGACTCGGGTGTCTTCATTTTGGCAGTGCATTGAATGTCTCAAGGTTGCTAAGGGCGTACCGCGGACGAACCCTGACGGGTCTCGGCCTGGAGGTCTCGACCCGCCTGCCCCAGGGGCGTGCCATAGAGATTCCACGCTGACGTCTGCGGTGCTTTCAGCCCTCAGGCACAACTGTATCGCTTTGCTATGCTCCGACGGCGCTGCCCTCACTATTTGCATGCGATGCTATGCCTATTCTTCCCACGGGCAGCCTCGCAATTTGCTTAGACAATGTGACGGCCAACCACAGAGTGCAGGCGCCAAGTCTGCCTGGAGTTCAGTGGGGGCTGGACGCCACC